ACAAATCGGATCATAATTCATAGCGAGTAAGACTAAACTCAACAAGCTCCCCTTCTTCCGTCGGTTGGCTTTGCTTGGTACGAATGGAGTTGTCGTCACGTAGTAATCTTCAACAATACATCAGCTAGGAATTCGAAGATTTTTAAGTTCTTACTTTTAGCAAATTTACATGTAGCTCTTTTTACTAATACGGGTTTACTTCCGTTGATCTAACTATTCATCGATCTCTAGGAGCGGCCAACCGCCCCACTTTCAACCACCTCTACAAAGAGTTGCTTTCCTCTTTGGTGTACCACTGGAACAGAAATCAAGCAGTTGAGTCAAAATTTCATTGAATAATTGAGTACTCACTCGAATATTTAAGGACAGTTTCGCAGTTCGAAATCTTCATTCAGTGCTGACTGATTCTGGCACCCATTCGGCACATGGACATTGCGCGCTCTACACTTCTCGCGTGAGTGAAACAGTATGCTTCATGACCAAAAAATTCATGATTATCACAAATCACTAATGAAGATTTAAGTTTTTCGTGTTCGTCCCCGGTTGACATATTCCAACGATAGAACTTACCACACAATCACGGTACACAATATGATATCAGTTTATTAACACTGATTCAACAATGGTTAGAACAATCACGACTGGTAGCCCACGAAAACAGATAGTATCGCAGAGTATATTTGTAACATATGAATGCTTTCGCTAAATTCGTGAAAAGCAAAGGAAAATCTATTTATTGAAAACTGAATCGCGTCACATCAATCATCATTGGGTGAAATCAGTTGATCTTGGGTACACTGGCCATGGAAGCCACTCCACACATGTTCCCACGGTCACGAGCCAGTTTGATGTATCCGCTCTCACCCCAACCGCGTCCCCAACTATTTTTGATAATCCAGTACCGGTTACCCTTATCTTGACCGTAACCAACAGCCAACACGCCATGATTGAGGCGGCGAGGTGAACAACTGCGGCTTTGATAGATTCCTCGACTGTGATGAGTTAGATTTAGACGTTTGTCGCAAATGAATGAAAAGCAAGAGAGGTAGAGAGACGGTGAAAGAGTAAACACATGATCACATAATTTACTGTGCGTATTCCACGCAAACGGATTTGGTAGAAATACTATTTATTCTAGGTAGAGCAGGCATCAAGGTAATTGCATGCCATCCTTGGCATTGACTAAACAAAACAATAAACTTGCTCCGCATATTGTTGAAGAAAAAATGCTTGATTTTCTTACCGATAATGCTGAAAACCTTGATCTGCGTGCACCGCAACAGCAACCGGTCCTTGGCTGCCCACCATTGCTTTCAGCTTCTGCTCATTCCCGCTATGTTCTGTTGAGAAAGAAGACACCTTCACTGTGGCTTTTCGTTGATCAAAGTGACATTTTTCATCCTAGAGTTGAAAAGAAACTGGGTTCTGATTTTTTGGCAGTTCGATGCAGTGTGACTGTGTCAACATTAAGAACAATATTCGTTGAATGGTCATCTACTGGATGTGTTCCGTTAAGGCTTGTTTGCAACTTATTAACTATATATCTGTTGGATTTTGCTATCAAAGGCAACTTAATAACATTTTAGAGGTAATTACAAGGTTCCCGTGCATGAAACATGCTTAGTTCATTATGATACGACAGCACACATTCAGATGTGAATAATTGTTTTCATTCATTCATCTTCTATTGCGTACGAGTCTCACAAGGAAGTTATATGTAACAAGGGGATGGACATTCTGTGTCCCAAAGGTCATAGGCATTGATTATTGGGGGGAATTGGGTAACGCGTGTTTCACCACAATACTGAAATCAGGTTATGATGCGGTCGATCTTCAGCCGTAGCAGTTGAGTGGCATGGGCCAATCGCTTTTGAGCATACAAATTGGAAGGAACCAAAGAATGAACCAAGAAAGGTGATTAAGAGCATCAAAATAAGGACCCAAGAGTCCCGGGTTCAGACCCCCGCACCGCTGCTCATGCTCATCATTTCTTTATTTTCCCAGACAATCTTTATGTGACCGCTACCCATTTCTGAAATCTGATTGTGCATCTGCCTATTTAATGAATAACAAAGGCTACACCGGATAAACAACTCCTCTGATGAAAAGTCGCAGTTATATACTGACTACTCATAAGCAGCACCAACACGCTTATTTATGAAATCTTAATGGAAAACAAGAAATTGGAGATAAAAATGCACCCAAATGAAAAAATAAGGTAATTAAAAATAATGCAAAGATATTCGATGGGATGTTGCCTGAAAAATGTTTGGAAGTCCATTTATATTTTTCAGGGTGAAGAGTGTAACAAATATCGATACTGAACTTCATCCTTTCCCATACGGAGATGGAAGCTACCTCCAGTCTCCTCTTTATCCGACTCCAGCAGCCTTCCAGGTTGTTCGTGTGGACCCCTTTAGATGCCCGTGTTTACACGTTCTCATTACGTTCTCACTGGTTTAAGTATATCTAGACGGTCCATTGAGCTGTTGATTCAAGGCACGAATTTTGAAGGAACCTATTTCAGCAACAACTTTCTAGCTTGCAAATACTCAACACAGGCACTTCCATCAATCTGTGGCAGAAATTACCAGGTCAGTGACTGCTGAGAGCCCTATGAAGCGCACGAAAACTAATTAATATATAAGCAAACTAGGTCAATTAGATAAAGGGTTAACATAAAAAATTATTTATTCGTTTTATTTTTCACCAAAACATTTCTTATGTCAACAACTCTAACCTTCATACAGTTCCCATTAGGAACTTCATCAGAGCAAAAACAAGCATCGTCACAGGACAGGTTGAATTCAACTGTTTCACGTTATCTCTTCAGCTGTGTACAAACATTCACGTGAAAGTTCGATCAGGACGATGACAAATCTTTAAACATCAAAAACACTGGACTAGGCAAAATCAGTGCGAAGGTCGAAGGTCACCAATCACAGTCGGGTTGAGCAAAGCGATACGGTGGGAGAACATGTTTATCGATCTGGATCGAGGTGACAGCCCTACCATGGAAGGGTTAGGCTGGTCACAAAGTCTAATTTAGATGGTGGATGTTTGGATTGGCCCCTTCGGTTTCTCAAAGGCACTAGGCACTGTTGATTATGTTCGATGTGGGTTTCACTCCTTGGGAGATCGTTAATTCCCCACCGTTTGTATGCATTTTATTGCGATGGAAATGTTTGTGATAATCCAACCATCCACCATCTAAATTGATTGATCCACTCGCACAAGGTGATAACCATCGACCGTGTAGCTCAAGGGTAAAGGTTTGAAGTCCCAACCCGAAGAATCGCGGTTCGAGTCCTGACAGAGACACAAGAAATACGCACTACTGACCGGTTCCAAACAGGACGAAACAGCTGTCCAGTGCTCTTTGTTGGTTATCACAAACATTTCCATCGCAATACAGAGTCTAATTGTTTGCAGAGATCTGGTTTGTGATGCCGAATGGCTACGGCCTCAGCAAACCGTACTAACCGCCCAGATTTCTGTTAGTTTAACACCCGGAATGCTTGCTTTGGATCGATGCAAAATTTGCAGTCCAATATATGCTCACCCACCGTATCGCTCTGCTCAACCCGACTGTGATTGGTGACCTTCGCACTGATTTTGCCTAGTCCAGTGTTTTTGATGTTTAAAGATTTGTCATCGTCCTGATCGAACTTTCACGTGAATGTTTGTACACAGCTGAAGGGATAACGTGAAACAGTTGAATTCAACCTGTCCTGTGACGATGCTTGTTCTTGCTCTTATGAAATTGTAACCTTGATAAGGAAATAAACGGTTAATCTGGGCGGGCTGTCAATCAGATCCATCTAAAGAGGAAGTAAGAAGTTATTTATTTGTTTATTTATTCCACAGTGCCAAGACTGTGGAGACGCGACGACTTGGATTGGTATAGTGGCACTTGATTGATATCATCGATCGCTGACTCAGGCCTCGCTCGGTGACCTGAGTTAGCTAGGCAATCGATTCATTCAGCTGTTTGTAACGCATCCAACAGTGGTCGAATGGTGAGGCAACTGTCTCAGGGAACTAAAGAACGTTATCCACGCCGGGTTCGACATGACAGAGGTGTAAGAGAAACCTCTCAACTTGCAGATTTAAGACACCAAGTAAAGACTGAATCAGCCTTCTTAGTTATTTATCGAGCAACACCTCACTCCATCCAAATATTCGCATTGATGTATTGACCCAATATAGCCAATTGTATGGTTAATACATCAAAAACGGTTGTGACTCTCGGTAATACCACAATGCACTGGCCCGCAGGGATTCGGCATTTACTGATTGTCTCAATTCACAGAGTGCACCACTGCTTCACGATAACCGTGTGATTATTGGAAGAACTTTAGACATTATTGTTTTGACTTCGATCAGTTGGGGCCTTTCATGAATCAGTTCAGGTCCTCAAATTAACGCCTTTGAGGTTGTGTGCTCCAACACCATTAGTACCACTTCACTTTCACATTCTCCCTATAACAGACGACAGTTTCTTCATCAAGCAATACCCTCCTACGTGTAGTTGTGTATTAATTAAAGGAAATTAGATGAAACGAATAAATAGATCAGGCTTCGACAGAATAAGTAGAGAAATGCACACTAATGGAATGTAAAGATAGTGGGAGGGTTTGAAATGGGGAGCACGTGAATGAATCCATGAATCTATGCTGAACGTATTTGATTATCCCCGTTATCATAGCGTGAGCTGGACTCAAATGAATTTGTGCGCAATACACCGATTTCTTGACCATGGCCGGGTTTAACCATATCAGTTAAAACTGATATCGTTGTAGCAAAACAAACTGGAAATGTGATTATGAATGGAATGTGTGCGATACGAGAAATGCGGAAAAATCACGAAATCATAAACTTCAACGTGATCTAATAACAGTGTGCAAAATTTCTCAAATAGCATCGCCCAACTCATCGAATGAAGTAAATGAGCTATGTGTTTAATTCAAAATTTGGAAACACTTGAAACTAAAACCATTTCAACGCTTCTCTTTGGACGAAAGGATCACAACCACACTGTAAAGGATGAGGAAAATGCGGTCACATTCGCGGCCACACCAGGAACAACCCATCATTATCGTCAACTCATTCACCGAATCCATTTCACTCACACGTGCATGGTAGGGATATGCGTTCTCCGGTTCCAAACCAAACTTTTCCAAATACCGGTACGCATTTTCCATCAGACCTCCGTGACAACCATGATTACCGTAACTTGTGCTACAGTCGACCAACTGTTGCTCGGAGAATTCCATCTGTCTACCGTACTTCTTAGCGTACTGCCCCTCGATTGCACCGGTCGTGGAGAATGCCCAACAAGATCCGCAAGAACCCTGAACATCAAAGTTGAAAAGATCAAAACATAAAATATTGGCGATTAGGTACGTTTCGAGCGTTATCAGAAATTCAAATGCAGCTTAAGTGCGGAAATAACATACCTGATTCTTAACTTGTCGAACTAAACCCTTGGTACGCCAGTCAATATTGTCCGGGACGGCTTGATTGACCTCACTCACGTTGAATGTGGTTGATTCATTCTGATTCGTCCCGGTCAATACATCTTGTACAAACCCGGTCACGTAGCGATCGCGGAACTCATCCCAACTCAGGTCGGAGTATTCATTCACGCCCATCTCATAGGTAACAAGACCGAGATCGTATTGCGCATTGTGTTGCATTATTTCCACCACATTCTGCGTCCATTGATTTTGACGACGATCGTGCTCCAATTGGTCCGCGTACTGTTTGTTGTGCACACGTTTCCACTGTGACCATTCCTCATTGAACTGCAATTGGTCCATTGCGATTGCATGTGTGAAGTGACCAAATGCTGTTAGCAATATGGCAAGGCCAAGTGTGACCATCATCTTCAATGCTCTCACCGGATTTCTTTCGTCGATTGGTAGCACTGTTCATCCGGCGCCCCGTTTTATACTAGTGTTTTGACAGTTTTCGGGGTTCAGAGTTTGTTACCGTTTGTTGACGTATATAAGGAAACTAGCTTTTGTGGACATGTACCAAAAAAAGCAGTTAGTAGACGAAATAGCTAGGTATCTTGTAGCCTGTCTGCGTAGCATAGTCGTGAAACAGAATATCACCTCACGTGTTCTCACCTAGCGTGGGTTACGAGAGTGGTACTTTGAACCACTTTTCTACTTGGTCATAATAAACTAATTGTGCGCGACATGTGAAATGTAAAAAAAAACAATTTGTATGTAATTTATCAGATGTACGGATCGGAACAAATACTGAACTTGAAGTGTGATCGGGCGAGTTCTATACGTTACTTTGGTCTCAGTGCTCTAATTGATTTCCCATGGAATGAGTTCTATGACTGTGATATGGTTCTGTTTTTAAGACTGTTATAGTCCGATAGAATTAGGAATGATACACCATACCCCTCTCCTTCGCGAGCAGGTACCTGATTCGAGCACGCCAGAAACAAGAAGCATGAATGTAAAATTTCGTACCCGAGAAGTCAAACTGTGATAAACATTTCACAGGGGATTGTTTTTCAAGCATGACTTCATCCTGGATTCTAATCAGTTGGAGCCCATACGGTGTTGTTTTCTACGTTTCGGGTTCCGAAAACAATATTCCACATAGATTTCATGCTTCCAGTCCCACGTTTCCCATGATCTACCATCCACGTTTGCTACTGCTGCTCCCGATGTGGGATGACGGTGAATTCACTCGGCGGTTTTTGAATGGCTCGCCGAAACGTTTGCGTTATATTTGATTAACCGGAAGAAATGTAGTCGGAACTACTTCTGGTCCTGTGAATGTTGCGGCATGTCATATGTGTTAATTGTAACAAATTTACTTCTGTCCTTCTGCTTCATAAATAGCTCTGAATTTTGGTGCATCTGTTTGCCTCATTTGAGGTCCTCAATGTCGACTTTTGATCAGTTAAAGCCCATCAGTCAAGCTTTATGTCCTGGACTGTCTGTTGACTAATCGTACAACCTATTGCGCGATACGTTGTAATCGACTAAAATAAAAAAAGACTGACACCTCCGCCCGGGTCTTTTCGGTAGAGATTCGCATTTTTCACATAGCACTGGCTCCTGGGAACACTCGTATTAAACGTTAACTCATTTATTATGACTAGTAGAAGAACCCAAACCTGAAAAACTCAAAACCCTCATGCACGTTTCTATACTATTCTATTTCTATACTATAACCTCGTTTATCGATGCAACCGTTAAGATCCTGCCGTGACCAATCTTGAAGCCCTATACGTAAAAAATTAAAAAAATGTTTTTTTGCCCGTCATCTTCTGGTGAAATCGAAGCAAAATATTCTTGAAACCCTAAACCAATGTCACAAAAACCACCTTGGAGACTGCATCTTTAAAGCTGCCACTGCAAAACGAAGTGAGAATGCTGTCCGTGACGTGTTTACCAGCAAGCCTTTTATCAAACCCTAGCAGTCAATGGATTCTCCAAATTACAACACCGCTTTGGACCAATCCAACGCTCTCGATCTAGTTCAACTGCAGGCGCAGATATTCGTCCAAGGCCCTCCTTCAATTTAATCTGCTGTTGCAATCGCCATTAATCAGACACGAAGCGATGCTGACTGTGTCTCGAACAAGCTGCTGATTGTGTGGCTAAGATCGAGATCCTCAGTGAGGATATCCTGCAGAAGATGCAGCTTGCAAGTCGTGAGGCAAACGAAGGCACTTCCAGAAAGTCTGCCGGGCTTATTCAAACTCAAAGCATAACATAGCCACCACAACATCCCTTATATCCTGCATTGGCGTAGCAGAACTTCCAGTGAGCTTTGCTCCTACTGTTACTGAGGTGACAGTAAACGGAGTAGCCCTGAAAGCCGAAGTAGACACAAGAATCTCAGAAAGTTATATAACTGAAGATATCGAACTCCGGAATAAATCGCTGACACTGACGTTCAACAGTAAGTTTGTCCTGGCTTCCACCCGTATGATATGCTGAGCCGCAATTCATTGTATTGTCTCACTAAAACTCAAAAATATTTGGTACTGAAATGACAAAATGTCTGTTTTCCCTGATTTACATATTGGCATACTACCGAGAAATGACAGACCACAACGACCTACATAAGTAGAAGTAGCCTTCCAATGAATTCAGCCAACATACTTTTTGTAGTCTCTCAGCCGCTAGTCTTCTAGTCCCCTCCGTTTTTGCTCATCTGAATTTCTCTTGCCGTTCTATTTGCATGAAATCGAGAAGATGCGGCTACAACGATGACAATGTCATTCTTCCGGAAGCTGTTGAATGACGGAGCAGTCTAACGTTCTTGATCACCATGGTGATCCCATGTCCTGGTTACAGATAGTGAACCGCAGAAACAATGGATGATGGCTGATTACAGCCAAATTGTTATTCTATTCATCTGTTTGGATGCTTATCCACCACTTGTGTAAATGACTTGGTGAGGAGCGTTGCCCAGAATAGCATGTACATCTCCTTAGACTTGAAGAGTGCATATTATCAACTGCTCATAAAAGAGAATGACCGGAATTATTCGGCTTCTGAAGCATGCACTAACCCTTGAAAATTTCGCTAAATACCCCGTTTGAAGTAATCAAAGATGTTGCCTGTTTTAAGATCTTGTTAGACGCATCACTGGCGGTCGAAACCCATACCTCAGACTTACAGATCTCTGCAACATTCACTCAAAGTGGTCGCTCCGAGGCCTTCTCAACTGCCTTGTGACGCTCAGATAAAAATCATTCAGCTGTAGAAAAAGAAGCTAATACAATAATTGAAGTCATTCAAAAACGGCGGCACAACCCGATGTGTACCCACTTCAAACTGCTCACTGGCCAACGCTCTGTCGCCTTTATGTACGTTATGAAAGTCGGCAGAAAAACTAAAAACCAAAAACGATAAACCACACCACTGGCGCACGGAACTTTCCAAATTATCCCATGACATCATGTAAGGTCCCGGTTCGGAGAATTCTGCAGCTGATGCTTCATCAGCAAGTGTTATGTGCGAACATCCCTCAATCCATGAACTGGAAAGCTTTAACGGCAATCTGTGCCACCCCAGTATTACCCGTCTATACCACCTGTTTTGCACAAGGCTCTACCCTTTCTTCTTGATAATATCAAGGCGATAATTTGGCAATGCTCTGTTTGTGCACGCTTCAAGTCCACGTTTCATAAATCATGCAATGGTCTACTTGTTAGGGCTACAAAATCTTTTGAACGCACCAGCACCGATTTCAAAGAACCCATTCCCTCTTTTGCTCATCATCACTACAGTTTGATAATCATGGGTGAGTATTCCCATTCTCCATTGTCCTTTCCCTGCCCTGACATGACTGCTCGCACTACAATTTTCCGTTTAGACTTTTCCAGATTTAACCTGCCGCACTATCTACATTTCGAATCTCGTTTATGTCTTAGAAATTGAATACCTTCCTTCACTACGGATTCGTAGCCACCAGAAGGGCGACGAACTTCAACCCTCATGGCAATAGTCAAGTTGAACGGCTGAGTGGAACCAGTGGAACCTCCGTTCAAAATCTGTAACAGTTGGTCTATGTGAGTTGATGATAACTGACGCATTGCACGCTACCAGATCATTACTATGTAATATTATCCATGCGACTCTTCAAAAATTTACGTTTCTCCATAATCAAAAATATTCAATGGGTACCAGTCTACCTCAGTGATTAACAACCGCTGGTTCCATACTATATCTATGAAAAGTCCTCTCATACAAGTGTGAAACCGCGATAGAGGAAGTTGAACTACTAAAGAGAGACCCCGACTACGTCCACATACGTTCCCAACTGGACGCGAAGATACAATATTTCTCCATCATCTTGCTCCCGAAGAACGATCAACTTCATCGCCACCCACCTCTTTGTCAGAACCTCGCGCAGACTCCCCTCCGCCAAATGACATGCTGTGCACTTCCGATTAGCAAACGTTTCTGCCCGACCCGGCGAAATCTTTTAGTGAACCAGAAACAAGCATTGAATGCATGCTTAAAACAGAAATGGGTAAAACCTTATTGCCCTCGAAATCGTGAGGTGTACCTACGTGCTCTCAGACAATTAGTATGAAATTTTTCCCTTTACCGAAAATTAGGTACAGAAACAAAACTAAGCTTCGTTATTTGGGTGACGGTGAACGCTGTAGATTTGTCATTGTCTTTTATTTCATGTATAACACTTATTATTGATATTCTAACATTGCGTTTGCCCTGTTTTAGTTGCAGTTGTTGAAGCCCGCCAATCAGCCGTTGACTTCTGGCTTGTCTGCCGACCAAATATACAATCTAATAAGCTACAGTACTCTTCTTACTTGAAACAGACAACGATTCAATTGTGTATTTATCTTGGTCTGGGTTTAGATTCTATGATGCACCAATCTTTGTACCGAATAAATCAGTTCATGATTCGTTCACTAAAGGAATAGTGCCCCGTTTTCCGGGTCAGTGAAGGTTGATTAATTTAGGGGATTGAGATCCAGTACCTGTTAATTGTAATATTTGCTAGTGGCAGATCAAACCGGATATCGTGTTTTACATTCTCAATTTGGTGGGTACACGGTAGTCAGTCAAATAAAGCAAGTGGGTTTGTCCAGCAGATACTCTACAGTTGACGCGCTCCGTGAAAACGNACCTCGTGAGCTACCACTTTCGGATGCTGCACAAGTAGGGCTCGGAGAAATGAAAGCTGTCTAGAAATTACCACCCACCCCATTCGTCACTCATGCTAAACAGTCAAGCAGTCTAGGATAGAACGATAATAGACATTCACCAACCAAGTTTCGTCTATGTATCCTCGGCATACCGAGGCTGACCTATACTATCTACCCACGAGAGACTGGACATTTGAGCAGTGCTTCATAGTTCACTACTGACCCGCTCTGAGTTCAAAGTAAGTAGAATTGCGGTGCTGAAGCTTTAGTATGCATTGGTGAAGGTATAGATTGTGACGGACTACCCAGTCATGAATACAGCTGAGGCACACAATAGCGCCTGTCAAAAAGCGGACCGAACATTTCGTATTTACCGCACAATAACCTGCGATCAGTGTTGTGGGATAACTGATTGGAAATGACCGTCATTCAGACTTCACATTCACGCACATTCCCCAGCTCTTCCTGTCAACCATACACTCGGAAATACTATATCATTTCAAGAATAATTTGAAGAACCGTCAATTTGATTTGCTAAACCATCACTTTGAATTGAGAAAGACACGGGTTGAATCCGCTTCCGTTCAACGCACCTTATCGGTCACTTGATCACACGTTTTTTCTAACCCCGATTGACCACCTGTCCTCCCACGCTCTTTTTGTGTTGAAATAAGACAGACCTCAATCATGAATATTGTCAAGCTCGCTGACGGACGTCGATTCGGTGGATCGATGGAGCCCTGTGATTTGCGCGAGACCTCTAAGCTGGACCCAATGCGACAAGCGCGAAGGGTGACGTACTGTTTCGTGCGCGCCGCAGCTAAGGCACAAATGATCGTAGTTGACTCAATCAGCGCTGCATGCCCATATAACGTTCAAGCCTCTTAGAGATGTCTGGATGACTATAGCATTCAGCACAGATTACCCTACCTCCTGCTGAAGCGCAGAGGAGACCGTTGTGAGCCCTACCTCGGTCACACACGGTCCGATTCCCATGACATATCTCGGTTCTTTGCCTTGGTAATATGCCTACACGTCTGTGTGCTCATTGTTCATGCTCGATGAAAGTTGTTCCTGAGACACTGTTGGTTGCTCAATCGTCACTGCATCCACGGCTAAAGGTGACAAGTGGCTCGGGGCACAAAGTAAATTGTGCCGCTATTTTGACCGCCCAGCTCGCTTTATCGTGGAGATATTTTCGAAGTTTAAAGTGGATACTCATTGTCATAAAAGGTATTGCTGCATAAAAGACAGCCACATATTACACAATATTACAGCGGGAAATTATTTACAATCTTGCGGTTAACAAGCAGATTGAGCGAACAAGTAATGACCTCTGTGGGGATACTGAAAGTGAACTGTAGCAATCTTCCGGCACAATTGCAAGATAATTCCACAGCAATAAACGTCATTAGTTTCTATAAGAGATTTTCTCACATCGCTCCAATCAGCGCTTAAGAAACAAAATGGGAAGTTTCTGTTACGACAGAGCCTAA